TCATGTACAGAGCTTAAATTGTTTTGCAACTGAAATGTGCTATGGAACTAAGTTTACCTTTCCTTCTCTTAATATTTATTGTATCCGGGTGCAGCATCGATATTTCTAACAACCCTAGTGTGAGCTTTTCCATTGACATGGGTATCTGTGCATAAACCTGCATAACTACACCCTAGATACTCACATGGTGATTCTGATTATGTTGGAATTTAAATGTCTTTAATAACTAGTTTAACATTTGTATTATGAATTTGAATGAATTAATCAGAATATATACTAAACCTGTATATATAAGAAATGTCTTGATTCATAAACATTTGTATGATGATCTGCGAAAGTGTGAATAACCAGATATTTCCACAGTTTTTAATGTTTAATGCACAATTTTCCACATCTCCTGGTTGATAGAAAGACTGGTACAATGTGGGGAATGCTTTTGAATTTAGAGGATGGTCAGGTTGTAGAAAAATGTTACAAGCTTGGACAGCTAACTGTGCATTCTTCAATCTGTCATCCACAAATGAACACAGTATGGAGGAACAGGAAATCAAGATTAGCAAGGAGGGCATTAACCATTTTATATGAAAGAAAAAGAAGAACTGTTTAGGCTATTCAGCAAAACTGTGCAGCAGTTTGAGTTTTTAAAAGCTTGCAAAATGTCATGTGTGGCAGAAGGCATTGCTCTTCAATTTTAAGAGCAGCATCCATATTGTAAATATTTTTATTCAGGAGTTAGAAGTAACAGGGAGGCAGATTGGAGCACAGAAACTCAAAAAATCGCAAACTGCAAAGAACCACACAAAATTGTCCATACATTTTTCCAAAACTGCCTTAAAAAATAAACGGATATCTTTTTTTTTTTTTTTCTTACATTTTATTATCCAGTTGTTTCAATCTAATTATTTCAATTATTAACAGCTGAAGCATAGAAAAAGTCCTAAACATGTAATGCCGCCTATTACCGCTTCATACGGGAGATACTTCCTCCTTCACAGGTATCAAAAAGAATATTTTAATTAATCGCTGCTTTATTTAGGCAACAGTTGGATGTTTTTGGTGACAACGAAAAAAGGTTGTCAAATGCTCTTTGGGATCTATTTACTAAACTTACAATAGTAAAAAAAAAAAAGTATTTCAAACGTAGATGAAGAAGGCAGTGAAATAGTTCTGCAGGATTAAACCGTCCAACAGCTTTTCAAAGTTGACAGTCTGCCTGCTTCAGTGAAACATTCACGCAGTAATAACATCAAAGTTTCTTTATATCACAGATGCTCTGGTGTTTTTATGTGAAGCTTGAGCAGCGATGATGTTCTAGCTGCTGAGTCGCTGAATCTCATTCATTGGAGAACAGCTATATCATATCAATAATATACCTGAAGAACTAATATCATCTTCTTTCCTATGTTTGGGTTTAAAGATGCACCAGGAAGGCTGTTTGCAGTGCAGCTTCAGGTCTGTGCAGGACTGGAAGGCTGAGCTGTGCATCAAATTAATATTCCAGTTCAAAATGTTTGCTCCAAACATGATTTAAAATTATGTTTTCACAAACACAAAAAATTAAGTAACTTGGCCTCAATCTTCTTACCCTATGGATTCAGTGATACAGAAATTGCAAATGGAGGAATCTATTTTAATACTTCTAACACTGCAATTTCTTGATTTGTGGATATGGTATGATCAGTGTGGATTGTCCCTGACTAAATATGGATTTCCTCCACCCAATAAAAGGAGCCCATACTGAGTGCTCCATTCCTCTTAGCTGTGGATCAGATCTTCTTTATCAACATTTTTTTTTTTTAACAATACAGCTGAAAAAAATCTTAAACAATTCCAGTTAAAGTGGAAAATGGTTTCAGTGCTAAATATCTGTACAAAGGTAGTAGTTTTCCTAGTAGTGAACATTCACTATACAGTCATGGCCAAAAGTATTGAGAATGACACAAATATTATATTTTCACATGATCTGCTGCCCTCTGGTTTTCATGTATGCATGTCATCACATACAGAAATACAATTGCAATCATATTATGAGTAACAAAAGCTTTTAATGACAGTTAGAATATGTTAACGCAGCAAGTTAATATTTGCAGTGTTGACCCCTCTTCTTCAGGACCTCTGCAATTCTCCCTGGCATGCTCTCAATCAACTTCTGGACCAAATCCTGCCTGATAGCAGTCCATTCTTGCACAATCAATGCTTGCATTTTGTCAGAATTCCTATCTTTTCGTTTGTCCACCCGTCTCTCGATGATTGAGCACAAGTTTTCAATGGGATTAAATCAGGGGAGTTTCCAGGCCATGGACCCAAAATCTCTATATGTACTGTTCACATATGATCACTGCTTCACTTTATGGAATGGAAATGTTCTGAAAGCTGTAGAAAATGAAATCTCATTTGTATACACTCTGTGTATACAAAATGCCAATAAAAGGTATCTATGTCTAAGTCTATATAGCTGTTGAATTGTTGAAATAATATACATTAACCATAAGCTGTACCTCTGTAAAGCCTCTGAGTGTCAAAAGGCTAACATACAGAGGGTTGCAAACAGGTTTACACATAACTTGATAACAAAAAAATATGTGACTAAAACACACAAAAAATGTATTTAATGATGTTAATAAAGGGAATTCAAATTTAAAATACTCAAACAGTAAATTAAATGTCGGCATAAAAAAGGAAATATTGTGAGCTTACCAAATGGCCTGCTCTGATCTAGGGCTGGACGATATAACCTCACATTAGTATCACGATAAATTGGGCAGTTTTACCTTGATAACAATATAAGCATGATATATATCTGATAGGGGAGCCAGGATGTGAAGGAAACAGAACTGATCTATTTATGATTTACTTATTCAATAAATCACATTACATGCTGCTTTCAATTAGATATTAAAGTGTTGTACCCATTCAGGTTAAAACATTGAACAATATCTCGAACAGGAGAAAAATGTTTCCTCTCTTGCAAACGTTTTTGCGCAAAGGTAATGGAGCCTTTTGCACAACTTTGAACTCAACCGCGTGGTTTCGCTGTAAGTGGTGGAGTTTGGATGTGTTACTTCAGGTAGTCCCTACAGTTTTCACTTTTGCTCAAAATCTGTGGCGTAATTTTGGTGCCACTGAACTGAGCATACAGTGTAGGGATGGAACGGTTTATGAAAACCGTCCGAACAGTTTGGTTCGACTGTCTCTGTTCGGTTCGCGTGTGTTGCGTTCGGTTCATGCGCTGCTCCATTTTCTCATAGGCGAAGCGTTTACACTCCAGAGCAGAAGGTGGCGGTACTGCGACCAAAGCCAACCACCAGTAGTAAACAAGAAGAAGAAGCGAAGCAGCGTAGCCGGGTGTAGCAGAAAAAATCAGTTGTTGTGAAGAATTGTGTGGGTATGGGAGTGGGAAAGAACAGGAGTTGGAAGACGCGCCAGCAGCACTTTATAGGTCTGCTGTATGGGACCGCTTTGCATTTAGAGTGACCTACGATGATGGCGGAAAGAAAGTTGTGGATAAAAGTGCAACAGTCTGCAAGCATTGTGCAACATGTTTTGTTTATGCTAACAGCAACATGACCAACATGTCATGCTAACCCCGAAATCCCACATACTCTGTCAGCGCTCCGCCCCGCTGCGCTCCAGACCGGCTGCACAAAGCAAAGCATACAACCTCCGCTGTGGCTCCCGTTCGCTCCGCTCTGAGTTCCTTGGAGATCGCAGAGGGCATGCACGAGATGATTAA